AGTTTTGGTAAATGACATCAATGACCGGTGATAGATGTACATTTGAATTTAAAATTTGGTTTTTTACATCATTTACCTACATAATTGAATCATTTTGGTAAAAGACGTCATTCACCGGAGAATGACGACATTCACCAATATTCATCTTTTACCGTTACATATATCTAGATGGTCTGTGCCCATTTTGCACATACATTTGCATTTTGCATATATTTAAAAATTACATGACGTATACATTTRAAAACTGTTGCGTTTTTAATTACAATAAACGATATAAGAATGCAGAAAAATGCGTTGCTATTTCTCTACCTCATTCATGATACCAAAATGAAAAAAAAATATGTAGGAGAAGGATGCGTAAAGTGACTCACCAGAGTTCGATGAATTATTTTGGCTGCATGCGAATTGCGTCTCGTGGCAATAAATTTCTTCTGAATCGCATCCCAGGTACTTTTGGGGGTGATACTAGTTGAGTCCMGGGCGTTTTTGGGATCATACTAATTGCACGATGAATTGTTTTTAAGTACATACTTATTGCGCTCTTATGTTACTAAAACTAAACAATATTTCCCTTCCTGTCTTTTTACAGACTAAAGGTTATTGAGTGTAATAATGATTATTATTATAGTTAGGTTAAAAATATTGTTTTTGCTTATGTATTATTATTGTATTATTGCATTTGTAATTTGAACCATAAAAAAAATATTATGCTATCGGTACAATTTTAAAGATAACTTATTCATGAATTCGAATCTATTAATTTGTTTCAATAGAAAATATGCCGTTGTTTGTTTTAATTTTTTTCTTTATTAATTATGGAGTTAGAATGTTTGTTTAAGTGAATGCTACGTTGATTTATACTTGTAGAGTAGGAAAAAGTTAAAACTGCACAGCGACAATAATTATGTTTGTCTACAGAACGTAATTCAYAAGAAAATTATCAAAGCTTTAACATAATCGTTTTATTACATTGAAAATACTAAAAAAAAATAGTTTTAAAATAACCAATAATTTGGTCTTTAAACATTTTATAAATCAGAGGTAATGGAGACACAATTAGTATTATACCCCTTTATACGGGAAGAATTTTGTAAGCAGCTTTTATATTTTACTTTTTTAATAAAAAAAGTTTAAAATAGCAACTATTCCCTCTAAAATGTAATAAGATGTTACAATTTTTTGAAATTCATTTATTTTTATATGCAATTGTCTACTTTACTCACACTATCAGAATAAAATGAACAGTCCCTGTAATGATATTCTTAGCTCAATAGTTTGAATCATATTAGGTWCATGTTTCTATATTATAATATTAATTTAAATTACCTACTAAAAATAACTTGAATACAATTTATATACCTATTCACTATACACATAGAAAAAATATTTTCCCAAAAATAAACTATGGCCTAAGATMTTTTATGTACATAGCTGAAAATATTTAAACATACATCATTTGAAGTTGAAAGATTTTGATAAACACCACACACTAGATTGAATGACTATAGTCMTAATAATTATTTATCTACAAATAAGAGTATTTATCTCTTTCATAAGAACTGCAGCGTAATTAGGATAGAGGTAATCAGTACCTATCAGCTGAAAAGATAAAACTCGGCTCTTATATGATATTTTAAACACTATATGGCGAAGAAAACAATCGGAAAATTTACGCTTTTCACTGTTGTTACTTTCTCGTTCTTTCCCCTATGTAATGTTAACTTATATGCATCGTGAGAATCAAATAACAATTATAATATTTAATTTATCGTGATTATTATTACCTTTTACCTCCATCGGGAAAACCTCACCACACAGTATCCAAGGCATGGGGAGAATACCCATCTGGGCGAACAGCATGTATAATAAGAATGCGATAATGAGAGTTATTTGAAACGGTGGATCCTGGACGCCTGCGAATACCTTAATATAGGCGATGACTATGAGCAGCGACACACCCATAMATCCACTGGAAATCATGACGAGCGTCCGACGCGCGACGCGGTGCATCGATGCGAAAATCAAGACGCCTATCACCCGGGCTATGGACAGTAACAACGAAATGCTATTGCTTTCCCATGGCATCTTGCAGTCTCTGACAATATCTGTCGAGTAGAACAGCAGAACGTWCACCCCACTTCCCTGCTGGAAGACAAAGAACGTCAGCGTGACCACCGTYGGCAACCACACGTTGCGYCGCAGAAACAGTGACCAGTACGGTGACGATGACAATGGTGATGACTCATTAGGTGTGACGGGCGAGACTTGCGAGTTGGTATTAAATTCTATGGGTACAGCTGTCCGTTCGACCACAGGAGCCGATGCATTCGTAATATTACCCAAGTCCAGCCATCTGTCTACTTTGTCCGCCTCGGTGGCTCGTCCCTTTGTCCTGAGCCACATCGATGGTTCCGGCACCATGAACAGCGTGAAGAAATTGACCAAGTTTACCGTAAAAATGATACTGGATATGGTTTGCCACCGGAAGTACATGGCCAGTATGGATTCTACAGCCATGCCCAGGCTAACAGACAAGGCGACCAAAGTTATGTATAGCGGTCTCAGATCAGCTGGTGTTATTTCGGMAATATACAGAWACATGCACGTACAAATACCTGTTAAGTGAAATAGTTTGAGTTAGTTGTTACATTGTTAGGGAGACGAATTATTAATTTATTTCGGCAAAATACAATTGTTTAATAGGGACACCAGTA